TTTGCAAGTTAACTGGTCCGGAATATGTATTTTCTGGACCAGTTGACTTGCAAAAAAGATTTGACGGCCTTCCGGATTGAAATTTTTTCTGAAATTTAGTATGGATGAACTAGACTTGATGAGGAACATACACAAAAAATTTGAGCAAAAAATACCACCGGGAAGGCCCTCAAATGGAGGAGGCCGGACGGGGCTCCTGTCCGGAAATTCCGGACAGGAATAGCACTATATATATATATATATATGTATATATATAGTGCGTTGCTTCGGGTTTAAAATAAAAAATATAGAGCGTTGCTAATTAGCACATGACAAGCTAGCTAGCAAGCCGGAGGCATGGGCAATTCTACTTAAGGCAAATATTTCAAAGGCTTTGGTATTTTTGTGACTTTTCATTTTAATTACAAATAATTCTATAATATCACGATCATAGCACATCATAATCATAGATGAATATTCGAGTAAAAGAGATTCATAATTGTTGATAAAATTACCTAAATGTTACTATACATTGCATAGAAGAAGAATACAGGATCTACAATCATTTGTCCTACATATCCTTGCAATTGCAGCACCACGCCTCTTCACTCTCCCAGTATCATTTATGTGTATTATATTGTTTTGCAAATTAAATACGTAATAACTAATACATTACACACACACGTAGTATTAAGTTTTAAAAAAAGCTTGTTAAGTCATTCGAAATATATTTTAATTATATATACCCACTTGTACTTATTTTCCTTTACTCGCGATTTTTTGCAGAATATAAACTCATTTTCACAACTCCCATTTTCGTAATCTCACTGATCCTCTACATAGTTGCTGCTTCTAGTTTCAAGCGCAAGACAATGTGTGTGCAATCGTTTTTTTGGTTTGTTTGTGGACCATCACATGGTTCATAAGCCTTAATATATTAGGCGTGATCGAACTAGAGGCTCTTCAATAACATATATCACGTCTGTGTTAACCTGTTAGAGCTTGTTTTTATACATGGTAAACAGTTGTCCACTACCCGTAGGATGGGAAGGGTTTCCCATAATTTGAGTTTTGAAATAGGTTTATGGGTCGTAATACTAGTTTTTAGCATTATACAAGTAATAGTACGAGTAAAACTTCTAAATAAGCCCTATTATAAACAGGGCATAGAGCAGTGGTATACACAATTTTAGGGTCTGTTGTATTGTTTGAGAACTTTTTTATGCATGGGAAGTCATCACTAAGATGACAACGCTGCAGCACGTGACAACAGGCAATGAAAGTGAAATAATAAACGGGAAGAAGGAAAAATAGAATACATAAACATTGGGAAAAAATAAAAAAATTGAAAAGAAATAAAGATTAGAATAAGAAGACCAAAATGGGGAATAAAAGGAAAAGTTTTAGGAAGAAAAAAGAAAGATGACACGTGGGAACGCATGGAGAAGATTTGTGAAAGGTGAAATTTATGGTTGAATGATTTTCAAAGAAAATGAAAAAACCTGGGATAACAGGTTATCAACCGAGTAGGGACCATCGAATGAAGATGGGGTGCAAAGGTTGGATTATTCATGAATAACGATAAGATGAGATTATTGTATGAAGACCGCTAAAAGGTTGGATTATTAATTTCCTTTTCCCCTTGATCTTATTGTTTTCACTAAAACAATAGAATGATCATTTTCTGCTGTGAAACTTTTAATGACAACACTCCGCAGCAAAATGGATAATGACTTTCTTGCTAATTGCAAGACAATTTATATTGAAAAAGATCGTACTCTTAATATAGATGTAGACTCCATAGTTGACGAGTCTTTTGTTTCAAAGCTTCGTCGAGAACAAATTTAGTGGAGATCTCTTATATTTGTTTTTTTGCTTATTTTGAAAATTTTCAATGTATTATCAATTAAGTTTTTCAACCCACCCCAACGAGAAATCCTGGATCCGCCCCTGAATATAAATAATAATATGTAACATTTATTTATTTTTATAAAGATTAAAGATTTAAAAGATAATGTTCTTTATTTTTTTTCTCTCTAGGCCAGGGCTCGACTGCCGCAAGGGTATCAATCGTCCGCTATCGTTCTTGCGAACGAGGAGCGGGGCCATTTTAATCGGTCTGATTTTGGCTGGCTTGGACGTTGTCTACGACAGTGAGAATCGGATTTGAGGCAGACGAGGAAGGAGGGCTTGTTCTCATTCGGCGCTTCTCGACCACAAAGCTAGGCGTCGGGGTTGTGGGAAGACGAGGCTGGTAACCAATTTCTCGGCTCTTTGATGGAAAGATAGTCGATCAGTACAGAAAGATGAACATGGACGAGGAAGAGGTGGAGCTCGATGACAGAAACATCGAAGAAAGCCCGATGGAGGAGCCTCGACCGGGTCCCGGTGGTGGGGGTGCAGATAACTGACCAGAAAATCAAATTCCCGGTGTTCAAAGAACTTATGGCGTCACTGTGGAGACCGTGAAAGGACGTAGAAATCAAAGAAATCTGTGATAAGAGGTATATCTTTACTTTTTACAGAAATGGTGCCATATAGGACTAAAAAAAAGACTAAGTACTCAAATAGGACCTACTACTTTTTAACTTCTAAATAGGAGTACATTTTTCCCGTGTTCCAAATTTACCCCTATTTGTTATTCTTGTTGCTCGTCTCTACAACTTCACAAGTCTCTCTCTTCGTATGGATAAATTCTACCGGGCCATCTACATTCACTTCCAAATTCCCATTGTAGCAGATGAGCAAGGCGGTGCGAACAGATGGGACGCGACCAACCAGCTCCACCGAAATGGAGACGGCATCGCGTCATAGCGATACAACGGCGACGACGGAAGGGCTTTATTTTACAGAAACTCCGCAACGGCGGGATGAGAAAACGGCGATGGTGAATGGAGCCTGAGGCCCATCTCTTCCTCGTTCTTCTCCGTTCCTCCTCCTCCCTTCTTCTTCGTTGTTGTTTCACGGTTGTACCGAGATCCGTAACATATTTTCCGCGGGCGTGCTGTTTTGGATCTTAAAACAGCACTTCGAAATTGCACTTTCCGTTTCCTGTTCTTTTGTGGCTTCTTTAATTTCTGTGGGGTGTTGCTTAATTTTATACGGAGTATTTCTTGTTTAATTTGATTTTGGTTTTTTTTATCTAATTCCTTATTCAAATTGTAACTTCATTAGTCCAGTACGGTTATTTGTTTCCTTCAAATATTCAGTCATTAGTCATTAGTTCCTTCAAATGATTATTTCGTTAATCATTTTAGTCATTAGTTCTTATAATTAACCTCACGTTGACAAGGAAATTGTTGGTTTATTCAAATGTCATTCTAATTGTCAAATCTTGCTATGCATTTGTAATATGTTTTCACAATGTCTATTCAAATGTCATTGTTATCTTCACAATGTCAATGCATAAAAATGTCACCAGGTAAAGAAAATGTCATAATGGCAATGTCATTGTCAATGCTATAAAATGACATTGTAATTATGACAATGTCAATAGCTATAATGACAATGTTAATTTTATAATAAAAAAAGTCACTATGTCGTAAAAATGTATAATGTTAATTAATCATGATGACAATGTCAATGACATTGTCATAAGAATGTCAATGACAATTTCATAAGAATGTCAATGACAATGTCATAAAAATGCCAATGACAATGTCATAAGAATGTCAACCATTATGAAAATGACATTGTCATAAGAATGTCAATGACAATTACATAAGAATGTCAATGACAATGTCATAAAAATGCCAATGACAATGTCATAAGAATGTCAACCATTATGAAAATGACATTGTCAACATACATCATTTGTAAATATTAACAATTAATTTAATTAAATGAACTATTTCTTTAAGGTAATTAATTATGACTAAATTATAATTTACTCATTGATTTATAATATTGTGTGACTAATTTCACACAATATTCTGATGTTTTATAATATCTCTATGTGGGCATGGTCACTTTGATTTGAACATTTAGTCAAAAAGCTTGTTCAAAAAAAAAAGAAAATTCTCTCCTGCAATTGATGAAGCATGTGGATCTTTATTAAGTCCACTCCACACAAAAACAAAAGACAACACTTTTGGTCCATTTGGATAACCCCAGCTGAACTCGATGCAAGTTGAGACCTGAATTTTGCTTTTGAACTCTAATCTCTTCCTCACGCTCACAAGATCGAGTTTTGCCATTCTGGCCGCTCTTCTTGCCCATAGGACATCCAGGACTTACCTCTTATGTAGGAATCACAGCCAGATGCTCAGATAGATCGGAGTAGGATCATACTCTTATGGACAGAAATAAATAGCTTGGATCTTCATCTGCCAAATACGTAGAATAGTTTTTTCCCTAGCTAGGGAGGCAGGAGTGCTTAAGACTGGGAAAGAGAAGATGTGCAGTAAAAAGCGGCAACGCGATGCTGCGGAGGCGGCGCGAAGTGGCGTCGGCAACTTGGCGGTGATGATATTCCGTTGCGGCGAAGTCAATCCAAGGAGGTCGGTTGTATTCTATTAAAAGAAGCAGTGGCCACGAAACTGATGACGAATAAGGCGTGGGGGTATTTTTGTCCTTGCGCGTAGATAGTAGTCCTATGTACGGTTTAAAAAAGTTCGGCTCCTATTTAGAGTCCAGCTCTATGTTTTACTCTTGTTTATGTCTTTATCCCTACTTTTTATCATCCGGTTGATATGAAATGTGTGCTTGATGGAGATCCATTGCAGTTTGAGAGAAATTTGCTGATTCTGAAAGAAATTAAACCTAATGATCTCCCGCATAAGATCACTTTGAATTTTGGGTGCAAGTTCATAATGTCCCGTGTTGTTTAATGAACTTAGACACTGCTCGATGGGTGGGCAATTTTCTCAGTAGGTTTATTAGTTATGATAATAATCAATTTGGAGAAAAGTGGGAGTCATATTTGCGTGTTAGAGTTTGTATAAATGGATCAAACAGGAATGAATACTCAAAATGATCGATCTTGGAAATTAAAACGATGAATTACTTATAAAAGTACATACCTTTGGGAATTCGGAGAGGGATATACTACGTATTTGAGATGGGCTGGATCTGGATGACCGGTTATCAACTTGAATGTAGTTTGCTTCTGCCTCAACGTACTCCAGCAAGCTCATACGTTTTCTTGCTGAATGCTGATCCCTAGCAAGTACGATCCCAGTCCACCTGAAAATATTGACCATAACAAAGAAGTATATATATGTACATATACGAGTATATAGTAAAAGACTATTTTACTACTCCGTCCCGAAAAGGTTGACCAAATTTCCTTTTTTGGATGTTGCAAAAAGATTAGCCATTTCCATTTATAGTAAGAAATATGTGGTTAAAGTTAATTCTCTCTCCTCTACACAAATTTCAACCATACAGTTTTTACTTTATTAATTCACGTGAAAGTCAAATTTGGCCATCCTTTTCGAGACAGAGGGAGTATTATAAATAGTAAAACATTTAATTGCTATGGTCAAAGGAAATCAAAGTAGGAGCTTTATTGAATTGTTTGAATAGAAAGGAAAAACTAAAAGACATTAGAAGCTAGAGTTAATTCCTTGATTAGGAGTAAAATATAATAGGACTTAAGTGTTCCCCGCATGGGTCTGTAGGAGTAAAAAGACATGTGCTGACAAATATACCCTTAATCAAAGGAAGAATTTGTTTATTAATAATACCGAGTATAAAAGAAAACCATAAAATAAAACATATCGGAGAACATGGGTTATGGCCAGATGCAACTTTACAACCCTAATATCGGAGAACATTAGAATTAATATTGCCATGAAAATGGTATTTTTTTGACAAGTAACAAGAAATGGCCATGGAATGCCATAAAAGTGGCATTAAAAGCAATTTCATGAAAGTGACATTAAAACAATATTGCAGAGTATAACCTTAGTTATAGATTTTCACATCCAAAGTTGATTATCTGAAAATTTTCAAAATAAAAATAATACTCGTAGAAACTACGGAATAGTAAAAAAATAGTGGGCGTTCATTTTCAGAAAAAACAAAACAGTTTGGAAATAGCATTTCTTAAATTAAAATCTTAAACAGTTAGAATCTTGTACTCGGTAGTAATTAAAATAAGAGAAAATTCCCTAAATAGGAGTAAAAATGTTTTGGAAGATTACTCATATTCAGGGAATAAAAAATATGATACTCCTATTTTGGAATTTCAAAACATTTTTGCTCCTATTTAGGACAATTTCTGTTAAAAGAATTAATGGAAAATAAGAAAAATCAGACAAGAAGAAGAAATAGAAAGAAATACAAGGAGAAGAAGACGTATCATTGACATTGAAAATCAAAATAGCTGGAGATTCGCCGGCGGCATCTCAAATTCACCGGCCGGGAATGGTGAAAAGTTTAAAACTCCAAAACGGAGAGGAGATATGTGATGTCCAATAATGAGAGATTGGGGAGAAGTAGGGATGGGAAAAGAAAGAAGATAGATTAGACAGGCTGTAGCGCTAAAGGACGGATCTTAAAGGTGGGCAGGGGTAAAACGGGAATCGGAGGTCTTGTTTTCGGAATTTGGAATTTTATCAATTCAGGATTCTAAAGATAGATTAATTATCAATTTAGAAACCAAAAGATAAAACATATCGATATAAGACCCGAATGATAGAAAACTATCAATTTAAGACCTAACATTTCAAAAGTTTTGATTTATTTAATTTTTTATTAATTCCATTACTAATTTTTGATAAACTTTTTTTCACAAAAGTTTATTAATTTCACAAGACTAAATAATACTTAAAAATTTTAAAATAAAAAATAATAAAATTTATGACAACTTAGGTCTAGATTAATAGTTTTTATTCATTCAGGTCATAAATTGATAGTTTTTTATTATTCGGGTCCTATATCGATGCATTTCGTCTTTCAGGTCCCAGATTGATAACTCGTCTTCTTTCGGGTCTTGAATTGATAAATTTCGTAATTTATACTATACAGTCCTATTGTTGAACTTTTTTTATGTTTTGGGGGAATTTGGTAGTGCATCCGATTTTTTGGGTGATATTGGATTTTACAATCCATTTTGATTTTTTATTTTTATTTTTCCCTCAATCTATTACTCCGTATGATACTCATACGGAGTATCTATTATCTATTACTCCGTTTTATACTATCTAATATACTCCCTCCGTTCTTTATTATATGTTCCGCTAGCCTTGGGCACGGGTTTTAATAGAAAAATAGTAGGGTAAATGTAGAGTGTGTAGGGTAAATGATAAAGTAGGAAAGAGAGTATATTAAAAATAGTAAAATGGTGATAAAATGATGATAAAGTAGGAAAGAGAGTATATTAAGTAGAGTAAAGTTATGATAAAGTAGGAAAGATAAAGTAGTTTGTAAAAAGTAAGAGGGGTAAAAGTAAAAAAAATGGGGGTATTTTATCAAAAACTTTCCTAAAATAGAAAGAGAGACAAATAATAAAAAATATCCCAGAATGGAATGCGAGACAGATAATAAAGAACGGAGGGAGTAATACGGAGTAGTAGCAAAAGAAACTTGCATAGCAAGTTCCCGCCCAAAAGTAGAAGACTTTAGAACGAGGTGGGCATTTCCCAAGAGTTAGCTTTTTAATTAATTTACAAATAGAGAATCGGCAAATACATTTGTAATTAACAATTCCAACATCGGGAAGGATTCTGATGGGTGGTTTTGTGATAAGCCCACCAGTTCCCCAATCAAGAAGATTCTGATTGGTTGTTTTGTAGGCAAGCACATTTCATGCTTGACTCCCCAATGTAGCATTTAATGTATGCTCTATGTTCAGCTTTAAAAGGATCGAGTACCTGCATATAAATACTGGAACGTGTGATGAGCAAATCAGTTTTATTCTAAACACAGCTTATGGAGCTTTTGGTGGGTTTGGTAAAAGATGTTAACCAAAGCAAATCCACATGGCCAGTACTATAGAGGATGGGGTACGATTGTATGCACCCCATGATAGTGTTTCACCTTCATTTGTATGAATATTCCATAGTGAAGAGGTAAGTTTTAAATTGGTAACTTAGCTCATATATTAAATATTGTTTTTAATAGAACCAAATTTAGACTTTTAAAATGTTGTTCTACTTTCTACTTACGCGGACGTTTTTTTTAATGCAAAATAGCCCAATCTGGAAAAGTAGAAGGGTGAAAAGGAATGTTGTAGAATGATAACTTATTACAAACATGTTTGTTATATTTGATTTGAAAAAAAACTCAAATTAGAGTGATAGCGCACTCTTAAAGAGTTGATTCCGAATTCGAGTATGTAAATAAGCAAGTTTATACGAAGTAGTTCTTTCATGGTAGCATCAATTTTTTAAAAAGGCAATTTGAAGAGTCTTTAATTGTCTCATGGATGTATGCTGTAAAAGATGGCAACATAAAAAAGTGTTTATAATAAGTAAATGTTTTTGTTATTTAGAAATACTACGTAGTATATTGTAGATATTAAAGTTTTCAGAAGGCTTTCTAGCATTGTTTTCCTACATCAATTGCAAGCAGAAATTTGAAATAGAATTATAGCAATTGTTACAAATTTGATTACCATATTAAGGATGTTTTTACGTGGACTGTAATTTATCCCAGACCAGACCAATTCAGACCAGACCAGACCAGTTCAGACCAGACCAGACCAGACTTGGATAGTTATAAAAATTCAAAGAAACCAGACCTTACCAGACCAGACCAGACCAGTTCAGACCAGACCAGACCAGATCAGACCAGACCAGACCAGCAAGTAAAAACATCCTAATAGATGGTTTCACCAAATTGTCAATTTTTTGTAAACAATGTTTTAAATGATTTACATTCAGCAAAATCTTATCTCTTTGTGATTTTGGCAACCGTTTTTATAAAATACAAGTATAAAATTATAAGAAAAGCAGAATACACTTTTCTACTGAATATGTTACTGACATGGATAAATATAAGCATCTTTTAGTGATACTTATCTTTTAATTTGTTGCATTCTAGGTTTTGGTGAGATGTCCAGCAGTTAATTTGTTTACATCATCCATGAAAGAATCGAGTGATGAAAAGTGGTATCAACGCTAATGTATATCAACTGAGTAGCGATTGTTTTGTTAGAATAGTCTCCTGTAGATATTGAATTGATTGAAAAATGTTCCCGTGCTTTATTTGTTTTCTTCCTCCAAACAAAAATCAGATGCAAAGAAATCACACATGTATTCTATGAATGAACATTTTCAATCATACTTATTTTATGTTGTATCTGGGACATGTAGAAAATTAGAAATGATGGCAGTTTCAAATCATAGATTGTATGACAAAAGACAGGTTATGATGATTTGATAAAATACTTATTTGATATATAATAATAAATCTAGAAATTATGTTGTACCGTTTGATATGTAAAATGAAAACTTGCTCCAAAATGGTGTGTGACTGTGTGAGAATGAGTATTTCTATCAAAACTGTTTCAATCAAACATCTGAAGTTGTTTAAATGATCAAATTTTATTTGTTGTTTCTATAAACAGATAGAATGACAAAAGAATGCTTACCATATCTGCAAATCACTTATGTGTTGCTTGATCCTTGAGTTATCTTAAGATGGTAGTTTCCAAGCACAACACCTTCAAAAGACATTTGACAAATAAGAAATAATAATACATTGTCAAACATTATACTCCTACTAAATATCAGGCTTGGTATATAAATGATGTTTTTTTAGCTGATCGAGTTATTGAGGTATCCTATTACGTACACTGCTTTCCAAACATTTCGAGGTATCCTATTTCAAATAAAGAATAAAAAGAAATAAACATAAATCCAGAATTGTTATGTATTTGAACTGTAAAACAAGAAAAAGTACTCTAAATTTAAGCTTTCTTTTTTATAAGAAATAGATTACTTAATAAAGATTTTAATTGGATAAAGACACCCGTGCGGGATAAATTTAAGTCTTCAACGTTTTATAATCAGATTCTATTTAGATATAGTTCATTTTTGAAAAAAATAGTATTCCGTATTAACAATATAACTTCATTCAAATCAAGGCAAAATCAGATATATGAATTGAGTTCGAATAGCGGTATGTATGCAAAAAATAATAAATATTACACCTAGCAAATATCTACTGATTTCATATGAAAATTCATGGTTTATGTGGAATTTAAAAAATTAATAAAAGAATCATCGAACTATTAGCAACTTACACAATTTCTTTGGTAAATTGGTTTCAATAAGATCTTCAATACTGCAAGTTAACATGATCCTGGGAGTAATATTGACCCGTTTTTCTTGAAAATCTAAATAGAGAATTCTTTTACTACCTCCGTCCCACTAATATTGGGACAAGAAAAGGTAGCACGATTATTAAGAAAAATGAGTTTGTATGATTGATATTAAATTGATAAAGTAAGAATAAAGTAAAATGATTTAGAACCACACAAACTTTACCAAATTTGGTATGAGACAATCTTAGTGAGATTTCTCGAAAAGGTAAAATGGGACAATCTTAGCGGAACGGAAGGAGAATTTTTAAAATTCCGGATCACAAACTTTACCAAATTTGGTATGAGACAATCAAGATGTTAAAAAAGATGGACAAATAGCCTGGAGATTCAGAACCGCCACGCCGCACAGAGTGGAAGAAATGGAGGAAAAGATCGTTACAAGCATGAATTTTCAGGTGCATGCACCGGGCGATAAACCCAGCGATAAACATATGTGTAGTAGGGGAAAATTGGCCCGGAATTACCCCGTAATAGCCCAAAACATCAAGGTAAGCACCATGTAAGGGAAACCTGAGACCTACTTGAAGACTTGCAGTATGAACTCCGAAATGAAGGGGGGAAGGGGGTTCAACGATGTTTTGACCAGGAAGAGGGCAAGAACAGACTACGCTTGGACCCGCAAGGGCCACATCCTCGTTAAACTCTGCGTCCGAGAGTGCCACGGTCGGAACTTTCTGGGCATATTCACGAGAAAGAAAGAAATGGGTTTCCAACCCGTCGGCGTCAACCAGGATTTGGGGCCGATTTGAGACAGCCCCATCGTCCGGAAAAACCTGATGAACGGGAACAGAGCTTGAGGAAGACATAGAGACTGACCTGAGAAAGGTGAAGGAAACAAGAGAGAGCCTTCGAGACCTAGGGTTCCTCAACTGACGAACAGAGCACTGGTGCGAGAGAAATTTGTGCGAAAATTTCGTTCAGAGAAGGAAACCAGCGTTTATATAAGCCCAAGGGATTAGGATTTGGAAAACCGCTTGGGAAACGAAATGAGTGTCTGAAATGGAAAAAGAGGAAAAGCTGGATTGGGAAATGAGCTCGACTGCATGCCTACTTTGGCACAATGAATGCTAGGCAGCGCTACAGTCGCCTATGAAGATTCGGAATTCAAAATCTAATAACCCGATCCATTTTACTCCAAAATTCAGCGCTGCTAATTTTGAGGAGTAGGGGGGCTCGTGATGGTACCATGGATTCGGACCATGG